AGGGGTATATCGACCACGTTGACTCTCACGACCGCGACCACGTCCACGGCCTCTACCACGTCCTCGGCCTCGTTCATAAAATATCTCGTTCGCTTCAGGGAACGGACTGGAACCAGTGGGCCGGGAATGATGATTTTCATCAGTAACTCATTATTTTGCTCAGCTAATAAAAGACATGCAATGAGCTGTGAGTACTTTTGAAAGTTTTTCTCACGATACTGCTGTTGCAACACAACATTCGAAGCATGAAAGGTAGAAAGAGTCTTCTCCAAATTATCATTCTCAGTAACAATTTTTCCGCAGAGTTTCAACTAAGATGTAATCTGATGGATAGCAAAGTTGTACTCTGTAACAGTTTTAAAATCCTGCAACCGCAGGTTAAGACAATCATGTCGGGCTTTCGGGGGAGTGACGTATTTCAAGTGTCCAAATCTCCCCCTCAATTAATTCCACAAATCTAGTGGATCTTTCACCGTCAAATATTCAGACTGTAAAGGAATGTCCAAATTATGACGGATGAAGATAATAGCCTTAGCCCGATCTTGGCTTGTAGTCGCATTTTCACTGGCAATTGTATGAACAAGGCCCATTGAAACCAAATGCATTTCTATATCCATGGACCAAGTCAGAAATTATTGACAGTGAGAGACAAAGGTTTAAAAGAAAATTTTGTAAGGTTTTCCATAGTTTAGAAAATAGGTAATATAGATAGTATAAAAATAAAACTTACCAAAAATAAAATAGGCAAGAGCCTTCGAGCTGATAACGTGTTATGTAATAATTGTTAAAATATTTTGCAGAAACTCTAAAGCTTGCATTATTGATAATCAAAATAAAGGGCCTATATATAGGCAACTTAAAACAGACTCAATAGACTCAAATCTAAGTAACGTAATCTAATGGATATGATCAAATCTAAATCTAAATCTAAAAAGTCTAAAACTAAATATCGAAAATCTCTCGACAATAATAATATAATATAATGGTAAGTACAATATATTTGATATATAAATGCGTGTGTGTACGGGTGTGATATATATAGTATATATATATATATGAATGTGTATAGAGGTAATGATGACCCTTAATAAAGATATATGTATATATTTAATATTAAAGAAAGAGAGTAAGTTGAGAGAATAAGACAACAATTATATTATCTCTATTTTATTTGGAACGCCTTTACTCATATATATATATATATATACATATAAGAGTAAGTCGGTCGATCATTGATGTAAAAGTATCCATATCTTGTCGATGTACACAATATGTGGTATGTTTGATATCGTTGACGTGTCATAATGCAACTATTGATTATGTAAAATGACAGGCGGCGGCGGAAGCTTTGATTAGATTTGTAAACAAATTTTATAAGTTATATATATAATATAATATGCAGTATATTCATATTAAATATAATATATACAAATATATATTATATATTATAAATAACGTATAATAATTATAGAATAATAATATTTTTATATATTAATATTTGATATTTTATAATTTTAATTATGTTACCGTTTATTATATTAATTTGTTAGAATTTTAACATAATTTTCTTATATGTGTATAGGTATTATTAATGTAACAAATTTAATGTAAAATAATAATAAGATATAATGAATTTGAAGAAGAATAATATCTCATTGCCAAGTGATTTAGGTCCAAATCATCTCCATATCATTTTTAATTAAATTTATTTACATATTTTTTTATACAACAAAAAATAAGAATTAATAAATTAAAATTTTCAATAAAAAATAGGCAAAGAGCCCGTAACAAACCTGTGGTTTAGAAACTCAGCTTTATTTCCCCTTATGCTTTAAAAATTGCGAATTTCTTCTCTGTATTTCTTAAAGCTTTACACACTCTCCTCTTTTAACAATTCTAGGTAACGGAGTTAAATTTTTATTGTGAGAGACCGTTATACCCCTCAACCAATACTCTCCTACTTCACGCTTCTCCTTCGTTCCCCTACATCGCCCAACCTGATGACACTCAATTTCTCTATCTTATTTCTTACGCAATTTGTTTTCAATCTTTAATCTTGTCGATTTCCAGCCACCTATGAGGCCACCGACTCCATTGCCAAATCATTTCTATGGAAGCCCCCACACAAATTTCTTCCCTTTAAAACTTTGATGATGCAGGCAGGTTCGCATAGTCTCCGCCAACTCTGTCATCACCACTATATATGTAAAGGAGCGGCTCACATTGTACGCACGTCTTCTCCGCAACACCCCCACCCACGCCTCTGTCTTCTTCTCCAAATCTCCTGCAGTAAACACTTTTGATTTTACTGTTTTGTGTGGTTTAAGTTGTTGCTATTGTTGTAATTCCGCAGGTTTGATTTCTAAGTTTTATTACTCATTCTAATTTCTATGGTTATATGTATAGTGAGTGTGTTTTAAGCAATGATAATGACTATAAAAATGATTTTTGAGTTGCAGATTTGCCCAACTTTTGAAATGAATTTGTCCTATTTTGTTGTTACTTTCATCTCCCTAACTCACCATATCTCCTCTATGTGCTAAAAAAAATAAAAAAATCCACATACTAAAATTGACGAATTACAAAGGAAAATTCAAAGTCGCAATTAATAGGACAAATTAAGGTTAATCATTTTGAGAAAATAGAAACATAATGATAAGAAAAGGAAAAAAATATACATATATATTGGAAGCAACCATGATAAGAAATGTGTGCGTATCTATTTATGCATTTATCGAAAATTTGGTTCAACTTGGTTCAAGAACGGAAGTCTCGGAATTTTGGAATCAATCTTTTCTACCTCGCGATTTCGAAGACGAAGAACAGATATTCGCATTTCAGATATTTAAGAGTTTAGAAGATAAATTTGAAATTTAAAGTAGATTTTATGAAGTTGATACAACAATACTCGCAATATCAGCGCGTATCCATCACATAGCATTAAGTTCAAACGGCTGGGGGGTTTGGCGCAAGGGCTGGGGGAGTTTGGTGTAAAGTTTTGAAAAAGATAGAGGAGGAATTCACATAGAGGGAATGGCCCTGAGTTTTCAAATCACAGGTATGTTATGGGTACCATTTTTTTTTTAATGGCGTGAGAACCCGCAGCCGTTACCCGAAAGTGCGCACTGGGTAAACTCTCGGCCGAATCTAATATCTTGCAAATCAGACCCGACGAAAAAATCACATTAGACGAACCATGTGTTATGAGCACTTTTGCCTAAATATTTTGTTGTTCAAGCTCAATTCGAATAATAGTCAATATAGATATAATCCGATTGCCAACATTGAAGTTTATGGGACTTATCAATGAACAAGTGTCCATTCAACAAAAAGACGTAACATTAAAAATATAGAAATTAAAATAATCTCACGTGACATCTCCAGAAAACACAACAAATATCACCATCATCTATAGGATCTCATAAAATCCTTAATACATCAAAATCAATAAAAAGAGCTTCGAAGTTTTGTAATAAGTTAAAAAATAATAATATTTTATTAATTAATAAGAATGTGTAAATTTTTTTGATATTTTTGCAATTTTTGACTTTATGTATAAAAAGTAATTATAAGTGTAATAATATATTTATAATTTAAGTAAAAATTAAAAGTATTTTGATATTAGTATATGATTATTTTTTAAAAATAAAATAATAATACTTTGAGTAGAACACAAAAATAGTAAAAAGAATAATTTGAATTGAAACAGATGAAATACTAAAGATTAATGCATAAGTTTCCCTTAAATATATTTTGTCATTCAAAGTACTCCCTCAATCCCATATCTATATATCCATTTACTTTTTGCACAAAATTTTAAAAATATTATTATTATATTAGGATAAAATAGAAATAAAAGTAAAAAGACTAAATTAACCCTATAATGACATTTGTATAATATATTATAAATTAGAAGAATATTTATAATGTTAGGCAGATAGTACAATTACTATTAAAAAAAATATGAAAAAATGAATAGATTGTTAAAAGGATTTCTTATTGAAACTCGCCAGCCAATTTGGACATATAATCTAACTTGGTTGACATATTCAAGATTAACATTCTTCAAATTACATTCGAATTCATGCTAATATGAAATTGTTCAAGTTTATGCTCAATTTTAAAAAATGATAGTAGAGAATAAAATTTTAGAAAAAAAAAATGATAGTAGAGAATAAAATTTTAGAAAAAAAAGAAATCAATAAAAATAAAAATTATTCTTTTATTTAATAAAATAGAAAATTCAATTGAAAAATATAAATAAAACTACAATGCATAAAAAAAATAAAAAAAAAACTATATTACTAGTTGCAAAAAATTAAAGTTATAACTAAAAATGATAAATTAGATAAAAGAAAAGGTATTATTGTATTTTTTTTAGTTACATTTTATTTTGATAATTTATTTTAACAATAATTTAGATATGATATGAAATTTAAATAACATAAAAATCATAATAATTAAATAATAGGAAGAAAAATAAAAACATAAAAAATAAATTAAAATTAAATCGTAAAAGTAAAATGCAAAAATTAAATCAAGAAAAATTTGAGACATTTTCATTTATGGTACCAAACCACCCTAACATCTTCCAAACACCCCACACCCTAACATCTTTCAATTTTAACAAATTAATAAGGGTGTGTTTGTTCGGGGGGATCGGATTTCTTTTACATTCAAAATATCACATTTAACACCTCAACTATTCAAATTCAAAATTTTTACTATTCAAATAAAACTCCAAACAAACACACCCTTAAGAAAAATCATTTGCTATGTAATTGTACACTATTTCAAATCATAAAATGATATCTTGATCTGGGCAACTACTTGTAAAGCTAACTAATCCCAAAATTGGCCAATCTGTGTAACAATATCTATGCACCATTTACAACTATGTTGGGATGGTAAAAAGCACATAAAGAATCATTTAATTCTGATACTTGAGAAATTGTGACACTCTCAATAAATTGGCAAGACAAGCAAATTAAATAAGTATGTTGAGATAAAATAGCTTCTCCTTAGTCAAAAATAGAGTACCATAAACAAAGAAATAAAAGGGATGGATCCTAACAGCTCTGTTCTTATATAGTTCCAATACCTTGAAATAAACTCAAAAAGGACCAATCATATTCGCAAGTGCAAATTTATCAAAAATAAATTATCTTCCATTGTAAAGAATGGAAGCCATACCGTACCCGTACCACTCAGTAAAAAAATCCAAGTACTTTACCTCCAACATTTTTCCTACGGGCCTCTTCATGGTCCATGATTCCAGCGGACGTCGTCAAGACAATATAACCAAACTGCAATTGAAGCACGAACTCGATTCAAAACACTTGTGATAAATATTGATTTTTGTACTTGAGAAAATTTTGAAACACAGTTACATCAAATCAAAACTTTTAAGATTCCCCGCACTGCAGGTGAGGGATTTTGCAAACTGAACCATATTTGCATTGACTAAATTCTTGAAGCTCTATGAATTATCATTACCTGTCGGGATGGGAGCAGTCTGGCAGTCCAAGGCTCGATTTCCTTGACACCGACGTCAAAGCGGGGGCTGATGACACCGCACTTGTTGAGTCTTCCGTTTAATTCAACCACAATTTTTCCTGATCTGTGGTCATCCACATACTCAAATTCTCCAATGTATCCTTCAAATAACATAAAAAATGAATAAAGGTCATGAAAATGGGAAATATAGTTTTGTTTTAGTTTTAGTATTTTTTTTTATAACTCGGGAAGTGGATTCGAGTATTAAATGAACAAACCATGCTTCTGCATGACAAGAAGAAACTTGATGATCACTTTTGAAGAAGGCCTTATCATAACTTGACGTTTCCCCCTCTTCTCAGCATTGTACATGCTCTTCAGGGCATCGTTCAGGACGCTCACTCGCACCATCTTCCAGCACTCGCTGTCAAATAATGAAGAGGGATTGTTATGCTTGGAAGCTCACACATTATTTTCACAAAAGTTACAGTTTCTAACTAATAATAATAATACCTTTAATTCAAATATTACTCTCACAAAACTCTATCCTATGCTCCATAACTAATGATCATCTTATATCCAAGCACAATGTTCAAACACTTAAGAGTGCTTTATATCAATTTAACTATAAATTTTTACAAGTATATTTTATCCGTTTCACTTCAAATAAATGCAAAAAAGATAAACACCAGAGTCACGTGCCAAAAAAGTCCAAAACTACACCCAAGCAAAGAAGTTAACTTCAGTAACTACTGAATTTAGATCCAAATAAATCGACATGGAACATTCTAACACCTCAAATACAAATTCCAGATACATTAATAAAACACTGGATCGGTGTCACAAACAATAGAAATTCGGAATAACTCCGTAGTCCATTCGATATGCAACAAAAACACATTATTGAGATCACAATTAAATCAAAAAAAACCAAGAGAAGACAAATACAGGCTAGACATTAGTATGACTAAATCTCATATATCTCCAGAGACAAGAGACAAAAGAATGCATTTCTATGGGTACCGTTTGATTGGGGATTTGGGGAAAGCTTTTACCCTCCCAAAAATCAAATCAATACTCACTTTTTCATAAAAACACATATACATATTTTTCTTTATATTATACTTAAAAATCAATAAGATCAATGCATCATGACCTATTTACTATTCAAATTAAAGGCGTTTTTAGTGTTTTCAAGAATATTTGATTCGCCTGCTCCAGTAATTTCCCTAACCGCGAATGTTTCCAAAACAATTCAAGGTAACTCCAAATACAACAAAAACACAAAAGTAACATGCCCAAAGCATTCACGAATCTTGACCACATAATCATAAGAAGCAATCCAGTTAACGGTCCAGAAAACCAAAAACTTTCCAGTGTTAACGAATTTCGTTATTTCTACAACTTCAGACCGCCACCACGGTCATTGGGGAGAAAAAAATAATAATCATAATAAACGATGCCACACATTGTAGAGTTACCATGAAAAGAACTAGAAGACAAGATTTAGTCAGACGAATACAAAACACATATCCTAATCACATTGAGCAGTCAAATACCTTAAAAATCCGTCGGCGGCCGCCGCTTCTGTAGCTGAGGAAGTGCAGCTCAACGGGAGCGAGGAGGCGAGAGAGAAACGAAGTGAGCTAGGGTTTAGAAATTTTATATGTAGCCACGTATTTTCGAGATTACCGTATTGCCCTCTGTGTTGCTTTTGTTGAGGATCGGCATGTTTATCAGGTATGTAATTTTGGGTTTAAAAAAAAATATATATATATATATTGTAATATTATTATAACACTAGCAATAAAAATATTAATTATTTCTACTGTTAATTACTATTTTATATATTGTATATATATTATAATATAATATAAAATATATATATATATATAGATGTGTGAGTGGGCAGGATATATATATATATTATATAGTGTATTTATTGTATGTGCGTGTGTATGTATATTGTGTGTATGTAATATATAATGAATATATATATTATATATATGTAATACATTATAAGGATAATTATGGGAAATGTAAGCAAATTGAGAAAGTAAATGTAGAAATTGATTTTTTTTATCAAGGGTGTGCATCCATTATTTATACACAGGAGTACTTCACTTGGAAGAAATCAAAAGCATACACAATCACTGCGTAGCATCGATGTTTTGTACATGAGTGCACTACGTGTACAATACTCTCCCTTGGATGCTTTTGTATAAAGAATGTGCCTCGTTAAAACCTTACTAGGAAAAAATCCTGTGGGACAAAAAAAAATCCTAGTGAAAGAAAAAGATTACAACATTCTTATATTAATTCGCTCCCCCTGATTTGAGCATTATTTGAGATCCTTTCATCGACGCATCCCAATTTTCTTTACCAGTTTTTCAAATGTTGCCGTCGGCAATGCCTTGGTTAATATATCCGCCAAATTATTATCTGATCGAATTTGTTGCACATTAATTTCACCATTTTGTTGCAGATCATGAGTAAAAAAGAATTTTGGTGAAATATGTTTCGTTCTATCTCCTTTAATGTAACCCCCTTTTAATTGCGCTATACAAGCTGTATTATCTTCATACAATGTAGTTGGGGGAATTTTATTGTCAGGTATTAACCCGCAATTTTTTTAGAATATGTTGAGTCATTGACCTCAACCAAACACATTCTCGACTAGCTTCATGTATGCCAATATTTCAGCATGATTTGAAGAAGTGGAGGTTAAAGTTTGTTTCATCGATCTCTAAGAGATCACTGTTTCGCCACAGGTGAATATATAGCCAGTTTGAGACTTGGCTTTATGAGGATCAGATAAATATCATGCATCGGCAAAACCAATTAATTCATATCGAGAATCTTTCGAGTAAAATAACCCGAGATCAATTGTTCCTTGGAGATAGCGAAGAATGTGCTTAATCCTATTCCAATGTCGTCGAGTAGGTGATGAGCTGAATCTTGCCAATAAATTTATAGCAAATGATATATCAGGTCGGGTGCTGTTAGCAAGATACATCAATGCACCTGTAGCACTCATATATGGCACTTCTGGGCCAAGTGTTTCTTCATTTTCCTCTTTTGGTCTAAATGGATCCTTTGCTGGATCGAGTGCTCTGATGATCATTGGGGTACCTAGCGGATGTGATTTATCCATCAGGAACTGTTTTAGTACCTTTTTGGTATAATTTGATTGGTGGATAAAGATTCCACTTTCCAAATGCTCGATTTCCAGACCAAGGCAAAACTTAGTTTTTCCAAAATCTTTGATCTCAAACTCCCTTTTCAGATATTCAACAGCTTTCTGGATTTCATTAGGAGTTCCAATTAAATTGAGATCATCGACATATACAACGATGATTACAAATTCAGACCCATTTTTCTTTATAAAAACACATGGACAGATAGGGTCATTTATATAACCTTCTTCGGTTTAGCTTTCGCTGAGACGATTGTACCACATTCGGCCTGATTGCTTGAGCCCGTACAAAGATTTTTGTAATTTGATGGAATATGAATCTTTTGGCTTTGATTTGAATGATTCAGGTATATTAATCCCTTCTGGGATTTTCATGTAGACATCATTGTCTAAGGAGCCATAAAGATAGGCAGTAACCACATCCATTAATCGCATATCAAGATTATTGTGTACTGCTAGGCTTACCAGATACCTGAATGTTATTCCATCCATGACCGGAGAATATGTTTCTTCAAAATCAATACCCGGTCTCTGGGAAAAACCCTGGGCTACAAGCCTTGTTTTATATTTTGTGATATAATTATTTTCATTTCTTTTTCTCACAAATACCCATCTGTAACCAACAGGTTTCACATTTTCCGGTGTTTGGACTATAGAGCCGAATACTTGCCGTTTTTTCAATGAGTCCAGTTCAGACTTAATTGCGTCTTTCCATTTTGCCCAATCATCTCTTTGCCGACATTCATCAACTGATTTTGGTTCATAATCCTCGTCATCTTTCATTATATCAAGTGCTACAGAATATGCAAATGCATTACCAATGTTTGTTTTCTTTCTGTTCCAATATTTTCCACTCGTGGTATAGTTAATAGAAGTTTCAATAACTTCATCATCACTTTCATCAGAATTTTTAGTATCAACCTCTTCAGGGGTTGTACTGACCTTTTCAGGTATCTGATCATTGTTGATCTCCTCACCAGTATTTACAATTTTCTTCTTTCGTGGATTCTTATCCTTGGAACCCAACGGTTTGCCACGTTTTACTCGGGCAGTATGCTCATTAGCACTCGGCACTTTCCCTTTAGGACATTTATTTTGGCTGGTGCATTTGCTGCTGCAATATATGATTTCGTAACTCTTGCGACATCATTAAAAGCATGAGGCAATTGATTTGCAATTTTCTGCAAATACACAATTCTTTGAACTTCAAGTTCACTATGTTTCGCACGAGGATCAAATTCAAGTGGTGTTTTCCACAAAATTTCTTTTTTTCAGTTGATTACTGTCTCCCCCTAATGTCGGGAAATGAGATTCATCAAAATGACAGTCTGCAAACCTTGCAGTAAATAAATCACCCGTTGTTGGTTCAAGATATTTTGTGATCGAGGGTGATTCATACCCGACATATATACCCAACCTTCTTTGAGGTCCCATTTTCGTGCGTTGAGGTGGCGCAATTGGAACATAAACCGCACACCCAAATATTCGCAGGTGAGATATATTTGGTATTTTTCCAGAAACCAATTGAGTGGGGGAATAACAGTGATAACTGGTCGGCCTTATTTTCACGAGGGCTGCTTCATGCAATATAGCATGTCCCCAACATGATACAGGAAGTTTAGACCTCATCAATAATGGTCTAGCAATTAATTGCAATCTTTTGATAAGAGATTCAGCCAGACCATTTTGTGTATGTACATGGGGAACAGGATGTTCCACAGTAATCCCAATTGACATGCAGTAATCATCAAATGTATGTGATGAATACTCTCCAGCATTATCTAGACGTATTTTCTTTATCGGGTGATCTGGAAATTGTGCTCGCAATTTAATTATTTGTGCAAGTAGTCTAGCAAAAGCTAGATTGCGAGTAGATAACAGACATACGTGTGACCATCGTGTTGACGTGTCAATTAGTACCATAAAATACTTGAAGGGTCCACATGGTGGATCTATTGGTCCACAAATATCACCCTGAATTCTTTCCAGAAAAGCTGGGGATTCAAATCCAACCTTTGTTGGAGATGGCCTGATTATTAACTTCCCTGGGGAACATGCAGCACAAGCAAATTCACTCGGACTCAAAATATTTTTCTTTTTCAATTAGTGGCCATTTGAATTTTCAACAATTCGTCTCAACATTACATTGCCAGGATGCCCAAGTCGATCGTGCCAAGTTTTAAATTCGCTAGTAGCCATTTGGTCTACTAGGTGATATGTTTCAATGGCACTGATTTTTGAGTAATATAAACCGATAGAAAATGATGACAATTTTTCTTTCACAATTCTTTTGCCATTCACAACCTGAGTTATCAAAAGATATTCATTTTCTGCCTCATTCAATGTTTCAATGTGATACCTATTTTTCCGAATATCACTGAAGCTCGGTAAATTCCTTCGAGCTTTGCTCGAGAACAAGGCATTTTCAATTGCAATTTTTGTCCCTTTTGAGAGATATACAATAGCTTTTCCTGAGCCTTCAATCATTTTCAATGCACCACTGATAGTAACAATTGTGGTCTTTCCCATATTAAGATGGGAGAAATAACTTTTATTTTTCAGAATGTTGTGAGTCGTAGCACTGTCGATAAGGCAGATGTTGTCATCGGATCCAAAATATTTGGCATCCATATCTTTGCAAGAAGGTAAAAATAATAAAAGACATGTATTAGTAACATAATCAAAATAGACTTATATTATAGGGGGTAATACAAAAAGGGGGGCCAGAAGGCATCAAAATAACAAAATAGATACAACAATATTTTATCATTTAACATCACCAGCTATGTCAAGCAGATCATCGGCATCCAGGTGCGCGATATTTTCATTCATCACATCGTCAAATGTGTCATCGTGGGCAACGTGATTTGTTTCGGGGGCAATTCTTCCCTGTCTTTCTTTTGAGGCCCGATACAGTTCAGCCAAGTGACTGGCTGTGCGACAAACATGGGCCCAATGGCCTTTGATTCCACACTGGGTGCATTCCTCATCATTGTTTCTGTTTCTCCCGGTGTTGATCCTCTGTTGAGGTCTGTACGGCCTTCTGCCATTATAACGTCGATTTGGCACATATCGGGGCCTGTTTTGATAATTATTGTGACTGTATGCGTTTGCCCCGCCCCGTCCGCGATTCTGATTTCGATCGCCATCAATTCGCTGATTTCTGACTTGCCCACGACCACGCACCGGATTTTCCGGCTGTATTGCATTTGCCTCTGGAAATGGATTTGCACCTGTCGGCAGAGATTCGTGATTTTTCAACAGCAATTCATTATTTTTTCGGCCAGCAAAAGACAGGTGATCAGCTCAGAATATTTCTGGAAGCCTCTTTCGCGATATTGTTGCTGCAAAACCATGTTAGATGCATGAAAAGTGGACAAAGTTTTCTCCATCATATCAAATTCAAATACATTTTCACCACAGTGGCGCAACTGTGATGTTATTTTAAACATGGCAGAATTATATTCTTGGACTGTTTTAAAGTCCTGAAGCCATAGGCTTTGCCATTCGCTTCGTGTCCTTGGCAACAATGTCAGCCTCAAATGATCGTATCTTTCTTTCAATTTCTCCTACAATTCAAGTGGGGATTCCAGCGTGACATATTGCATTTTCAGTGCCTCATCGATGTGATGGCACAAAAAGATCATGGCCTTTGCACGATCTTGGCTCGAGGAGTTTTTATCTCGGGCAATGGTATTTTCCAAGCCCATTGATGCCAGATGTATTTTAACATCGCAAGCCCATGCCATATAATTTTGGCCAGAAACAAGAAGAGGGAGAAATTCCTGTTTGGCAAGGTTAGTCATAATAAACAGATAAAATATGAAATATTACCTTACGGAAATTAAAATATATAATCGTGCTGATAACGTGTTGTAATATTATTATAGGATTAGCCAATAGAAATATTAATTATCTCTACCGCTAACCACTATTTTATATATTGTATATATAATATAATATGAAATATATATATATATATATGTATATGGATGTGTGAGTGGGCAGGATATATATATATTATATAGTGTATTTATTGTATGTGCGTGTGTATGTATATTGTGTATATGTAATATATAATGAATATATATTATATATATATATATGTAATACACTATAGGGATAATTATGGAAAATGTAAGCAAATTGAGAGAGTAAATGCAGAAATTGATTTCTTTCATTAAGGGTGTGCATCCATTATTTATACACAGGAGTACTTCACTTGGAAGGAATCAAAAGCTTACACAATCACTACGTAGCATCGATGTTTTGTACATGAGTGCACTACGTGTACAATAATATATATATATTTTTATGTCATTTATTAAAATTAATGGAGGTATTCAATTAAAATTTTAATAACTTTTTTTTAGTTTTAAATATTTTCACTGCAGAATAGTAGTGCGGAGAACTAGTCAGAATTGGGTCTCAGCCCAAAAACATTGAGTCCATAGAATGTTTGTCTATCTAAGAAAAAGTCTATAGATTTTGGTGGATTTATATTTATTTTTTAGAATTGGAAATATTTTTAGTTAATATCTATATAATTATATGAATTTATATCAAATAAAATTTTTATAAATAAAATATATTTATAATTAAGTTATTATATTATTATATTTTTATAATATAAAATTAATAAATAAAAGTGTTGAGTAAGAAAAAATGGGTTTTCGAGAATGGGCTTAGGCTCTGGACTGGTAGTTCAATGGGCCTGTTAATGGCAGTGGGATCCTAAATGGGTCTGAATATAAGCCAAACGGCCCAAGTGTTATCAAGAAATGGATTTTTTCGGAGAAACCTGTGATTAGGATGAGACGGCCGATACGGAGGTCGGTCAAAAGAGGAAGTCGGACGAAGAAGGATGAGACGGCCGATACGGAGATCGATCAAAAGAAGAAGTCGGGCGAAGAAAGATGAGATGGCAGACACGGAGGTCGGACAAAAGAAGGTCGGACGAAGAAATGTGAGACGGCCGATACGGAGGTCGGTCAAAATGAGGTTGGGCGAAGAAAGATGAGATGGCAGACACGGAGGTCGGACAAAAGGAAAGGTCTGTTAATTGGTCGGGCGAAGAAAGGTTTGTTAATTGGTCGCTTAATTAAGCGACTTGTTAATCGACTGATCGATTGGCCGGTCATTAAGTCAAACAGTAGTTCAGTCGCTTGAAAGGACGGTCAGTTGGTAATGAATCATCTGGACGAACGGTTGCTCAGCTGTTTGAAGGGACTGGATGGTGGTCGCTTGATTGGGCGACCAATGAATCGTCTGGACGAATGGTTGTTCAGTTGTTTGAAGGAACTGAATGGTGGTCGCTCGAGTGGACGACTGATTAGTTGTTTGGTCTAGCGACCAATTAGTATCTGGATTGGTCGGCTGGTCAATCGTTGGTAGGTTCAGTCGGTGGATGGTCCAGATGGTTTCTCAGTCGGATGGTGAATCCGTTTGAAAAGACGTTTAAGGGAAGTTACAACCGGCGAGCGGATCGAACGGTTGAGTAGTCGTTCGGGACCAGCCGTCCATTTAAGGAGGTAAGGTGCCCAGAGGCGGTCGGTCGAGCCAGTTGGGTTCTGTAACTAGTGGGAGCGGTTGGTGAAACAGTTAAAACACGTGTCAATAAAGGAGGAATTAATGGGCGGTTGACGGCGGTTGCTGTAACCGAACAGACGACGGTTCCCAAACGTTTCTTTAAGGAGTATTTAAAGATTTGGGTCTGTTTTGAAAAAGCATCTTCAATCGACATCAAATTCAATGAATTGCTTTTGGGGATCACCGTTATACTTTTACAGTCTGTAGTTTTTATTTTCCTAACTTACTTATGTATCGTACGGTGCTTAGGGATTCTTAAATCTCAGACGTTTATTTTATCAAATTCGAAGATAATTTCTATTTTCGGGTTTTACTTTTTATTGTTGAAAATTGCATCAACAAAAAGTATATAATTATTAATAATGTAAAAATATTACTCCATTCGTTTCATGTAATTTGAGTGTGTTACAGTAGAAACAAAAATTTAGATAAAGTAGAATCAGTAAGTAATTAAGAAGTGTATTAGTAAAAATAATTATAAATTAACATTAAGATAAATAAATAGTTTAATCAAGATTAAAAAAAAAATTAAAATATAAAATTTAAAATGTGATTAAAGTATATAGCATATATAACACTACATTGTATATTAATATTTTGAATTTTATAATTTTAGTATTATATTATCGATCAATATATCAAATTATTTTTATATTTTTTATTATTTATTATTAGTAGTTATACAATTTTTTTTTACATAAAAAACATAATTTACGATTTTTGAAAATAATATTAAAATAAAGAAGTAAATAAATATAATCTAATGGTTTAACGAAAAAATATTTATAAATATCTATTCCGCTATTATCGATATGAAAATACAGTGTATTCGATAATTAAAAAGTGAGAACAACACTGAATTATAATACTACCTCCGTCCAGCCAGGAAGTAAATATATGTTTATGCGTCATTGTATTTAACATTAAAAATATTCTTATATTTATATAGTTTACTCAAAAAATATAATTGTATTTGTATTATAAGAGACTAATAGATGTATTATTGTCATTTGCACTTTATTTGTACTATGTTTTGATATATTAATTAATATTCAAATATAAAAAAAAAATCACTGTGTACTTTGTGGCTGAGCAGAGGTAGTATATTGTATTGGATAATTAAAAAGAAAAGACAACAATAATGTATATATATTATGATAATAATATTTTTTTAATATTATATTTATAATATAAAAATATATATTTTAAAAAAATGGATAATAATTCGTTAATATATTTTATTTTTATTACTATTATTTTTATTAAAATTATAATAATATTAATAAATATTATATTTATCACCAATAATAATAATAATAATAATAATAATAATAATAATAATAATAATAATAATGTTAAGTTTATGAATTGTTAAATACCTCAATCTTTTAAGAAATTAGATTGAATTGACTTTTAAAAATCTTTGATTGAATTAAAAGATTTCAAAAGTTTAGATTGAATACACCCATATTTAAAAGTCCAACTTAATTTTAGAGGATGTATTCAATCATAATTTTATACGATTTTAGACTTAGGAGTTCTTCCCAGGGGTAGGCGAGTCTGGGCCCGTACTGCCCCTCCCCCCCTTACTCTCTCTATCCTTCCGATTTCAATGGTTGCTCCTGCTTTAGGGCAGGCCGAAATTGGGCTTATCCCGATAAAGGTCGGGTTGGAATCGAATAGCGAATGCACTATAGGTTAAAACATGTTGTTGCATTTTTAAAATGTGGATGTACAATCCAGACTTTTTAAAGTGTTTCAAAATATTGACGTGTTCAATCGAAATTTTTATAAGACTCTTAAAATTTAGAGGTATTCATTTTAAACTTTCGATAATCCATAAACTTTAAAAATTGGATTTTGATGAAAAATTATGACAAGTTTGTATAATATAAAATATTTGATAAGCAGAGATTTTGATGGATTTTTTTTAAAACAATTATTATTATTATTATTATTATTATTGTTGTTGTTGTTGTTGTTGTTATTGTTGTGTTGTTGTTGTTGTTGTCGTCGTCGTCGTTGTCGTTTATTGAACTCTATTTTTCAATTGCGATTCCTAAAAATAGTAATAAATAATATGGTAAACTGTTTTTTTAATCTCGTAACTGGACCCCTTTATCATTTTAGTCCTGTAAGTGAAGCCTGTCGCAAACTAGTTCCATAAGTGGAAATTTTTCGCTATTTTAGTCCTTCGGCGCCGGAGACACCCGCGTGGCTCGCTGGAATCCACGTGTCCGCCAGGTATAGGACTAGTTTGCGACAGGCTCTACTTACGGGACAAAAATAATAAGGGGGTCCAGTTACGAGACTAAAAAAACAGTTTACCCTAAATAATATGATAATCATAATTATTAATAAAAATAATAATTTAAAATTAAAATATATTAACAAATTATTATTAATTTTTTTTAAAAAAATATATTTTTATATTATAAATATAATATTAAAAAAATATTATTATTATAATAAATATGCATTATTGTTGTCTTTTCTTTTTAATTATCGAATAAAATATATTGTCACTTTGGTGCCGTCCTTCCTTTACAATTATCGAATTAACTATATTGTCATTAAGGTAATAATATAAAATATATTTATATATTTTTCGTTAAACAATTAAGCTTATATTTATTTACTTTTTAATTCTAATATTTTTTTTTTCAAAAATCATAATTTATGTTTTAAATTTTATTTATATATTTATTTTTATGTAAAAAATATATAAATAATAATAATAATAATAACTAATAAAATATATAAAAAT